GACCTCACAGCTGTCCTCAGACCGGTCCTCACAGCAGTCCTCACAGCAGTCCTCACAGCAGTCCTCACAGCTGTCCTCAGACCGGACCTCACAGCTGTCCTCAGACCGGTCCTCACAGCAGTCCTCACAGCAGTCCTCACAGCAGTCCTCACAGCTGTCCTCAGACCGGACCTCACAGCTGTCCTCAGACCGGTCCTCACAGCAGTCCTCACAGCTGTCCTCAGACCGGACCTCACAGCTGTCCTCAGACCGGTCCTCACAGCAGTCCTCACAGCAGTCCTCACAGCAGTCCTCACAGCTGTCCTCAGACCGGACCTCACAGCTGTCCTCAGACCGGTCCTCACAGCAGTCCTCACAGCAGTCCTCACAGCAGTCCTCAGACCGGTCCTCGGTCTTCGGTCTTTGGTCCTGGAGGAGGATGTTCTCAAACAGGAGGAACTACTGCATTCTCCAAAGTGGTGACTCTCTGCGCTCCTGGTGTCCTCCTCCTCTGGGATACAGCTCCTCACTTCAGCTGGGAGATCAGTCCTCCTGCTCCTTCTCCTCCTCTGGGATCCCTGTCCTGCTCCTCCTGCTCCTTCTCCTCCTCTGGGATCCCTGTCCTGCTCCTCCTGCTCCTCACCTCCTCTGGGATCCCTGTCCTGCTCCTCCTGCTCCTCACCTCCTCTGGGATCCCTGTCCCGGCTGGAGGCGCCCCTCTCTGGCTGCTTTCATGTCCGTGTGTCGGAGCCTCAGGAGACTTTCCTCGTGCCTCCTCTTCATCAGAGTGATAATGTTTTGGTCGTGGGTCTGCGCTTAAGCCCTCCCCCTCTCCCTCGCGCTCTCTCTCTCTCTCTCTCTCTCACACACACACACACACACACACACACACACACACACTCACACACACACTCTCTCTCTCATTACCTCACACCTCCATATTTCACTGTCAAAGCTCCGGGAGGCAGCAGTGAAATCTGTTTTGTAAAGATATGAAACATTTAAAGAACTGTATAAACTGTTAAAACATACAGAGAAGAAGAAGTTGTATTTTACAATAACACACACAGACACACATACAGACACAGAGACACATTGAGACACAAGCACACACACACTGGGCCTCATTCACGAATAACTTCGTAAGAAACTACTCAACTTTCTTCTCAAGTTGTCCTTAAGTAGATTTCTAAGAAGTCCCCACGTGGGATTCATCAACGCACTCGTAAGCCGCTGAATTGTTCGCAGCTGTTCTCTCAGATTGATGAATCCCATTTCCTCGTAAGTACAGCGCGCGTGCCAGGTGCTTCATTAGCATAGGTACTTAGCATAAGTAACCGCCCATTAATGCCCATATAAGGGGATGCAGGGCCGTGTGCAGACGGCCCTGCAGCAACAGGCCTAAAGCAAAGAGTTACACGGAGCAAAAGAGTCACCCTTTTTTCTTCTTTTACCAGACTGAGAATAAAGTTATAAAATGTTGACTTAAAAGGCGAAATATTATGATAATAAAGTCGAACTAGCAAAATTATGAGATTAATCTAAGAATATGATGAGATTAATCTCAAAATGTTATGAGCTTAATTTAAAAATATATTATGTATTATTTTAAAGATGAATCTCAAAATGTTTTGAGATTAATCTCAAAATATTTCGGACCCTGGGAGGAGATCCAGCGCGGACCAGCGCTGAGACCAATGCAGACCCGAGGAGAGACTGGAGTGACCAGCACACAGAAACCAGCGCGGACCTATAGGAGAGACCGCATAGACTGGAGTGACCTGACTGGAGAGACCGGTGCGCAGAGACCAGCGCGGACCGAAGAGAGACCGCATAGACCAGACTTGAGAGACCAGCGCGGACCCGTATGGATCCAGGAGCATGCAGCACGGACCCGTATGGAGAGAGACCAGTGCAGACCCGTATATGGGAGAGACCAGTGCAGACCAGTATAGATCCATGGGAGAGACCAGTGCAGACCAGTATAGATCCATGGGAGAGACCAGTGCAGACCCGTATATGGGAGAGACCAGTGCAGACCCGTATAGATCCATAGGAGAGACCAGCGCAGACCCGTATAGATCCATAGGAGAGACCAGCGCAGAGACTCAGCGCGGACCCAGTAACCTCCTGCAGCAGCAGTATATATGCCGTTGTTCTGTGGCCCGTGGATAAAGAAATGCCCCCTATAAATAGGAAGGGGTCACTAATACACGGCAAGATTTCCAATGTATTTGATAAAGCGTTGGCACATTTCATTTCAAAATGAATTTAAAAGTAGGCCAGATCTGCAGTGAAAAAGGCGGTATATAAATAAAGATTACTACAAATAAATAAATACATACATCGATATGACGGACATATCACTGGAATGTTGTATTTTTATTCAACTTCACCAAAGAGGACAACCCCGGCGTGTGAACATGTCGGCACTGAATGCGTACGAGTGCTCCTGAGGACTCGTAGGATTTGTACTTGCCCAAGAGAAATTCTGGTTACGAGAAATATTCGTGAATGCCACTTTCTTCGTAAAAACCGCGTAAGTAGGATTTACGTACAAATCTGTTCCTAAGAACCGTTCGTGAATGAGGCCCACTGTTATTAACACAGACTGTATATGGATGGGCAATGCTAACTCAATGCTAACCCAATAAGGAAGTGCCCATGGTGATGTCACACAGTGGTGATGTCACACAGTGGTGATGTCACACGGTGATGTCACACAGTGATGTCACACAGTGGTGATGTCACACTCCAAACGTCATACATTAAACGAATGAACGCCGCAAAAAAAAAAAATCAACTATATTAGAACTTATGGCTCGTAAAGTTATAATTATTTTCATAATAAAGTAAATAAATAAATCCAGACAGAGCATGAAGAGTCGGTGCAGTAGTGTGTAGTAAGTGTTTAACATCAGAGCCTCACAAACACAAACATGTGAATTATTGATGATGAAATAGTAGAACATTAGAAACTCAGAAGTTTACAGAAGAAGACGTGAGGAGCGCGGTCTGAAGGTTCATGAAGTCAACCAGAAGGACTGCTCTGTGTCTGTGTCTCTGTGTCTGTGTGTCTCTGTGTCTGTGTCTCTGTGTGTCTGTGTCTCTGTGTCTGTCTCTGTGTCTGTGTCTCTGTGTCTGTCTCTGTGTCTGTCTCTGTGTCTCTGTGTCTGTCTCTGTGCCTGTGTCTCTGTGTCTGTCTCTGTGTCTGTCTCTGTGTCTGTCTCTGTGTCTGTCTCTGTGTCTGTCTCTGTGTCTGTGTCTCTGTGTCTGTGTCTCTGTGTCTGTGTCTCTGTGTCTGTCTCTGTGTCTGTCTCTGTGTCTGTCTCTGTGTCTGTGTCTCTGTGTCTGTGTCTCTGTGTCTGTGTCTCTGTGTCTGTGTCTCTGTGTCTGTCTCTGTGTCTGTCTCTGTGTCTGTCTCTGTGTCTGTGTCTCTGTGTCCGTCTCTGTGTCTGTCTCTGTGTCTGTGTGTCTGTGTCTCTGTGTCTGTGTCTCTGTGTCTGTCTCTGTGTCTGTCTCTGTGTCTGTCTCTGTGTCTGTGTCTCTGTGTCTGTCTCTGTGTCTGTGTCTCTGTGTCTGTCTCTGTGTCTGTGTGTCTGTGTCTGTGTCTCTGTGTCTGTCTCTGTGGGTGCTTAAACCTGGGCCTGTTTGAGAGCTGCTGGGGGTTCTGAACAGACTTTCTCGCCACCACCCTCCCTCCCCCTCCTCCCTCCCTCCCTCCCCCTCCTCCCTCTCTCCCCCTCCTCCCTCCCTCCCCCTCCTCCCCTCTCTCCCCCTCCTCCCTCTCTCCCCCTCCTCCCTCTCTCCCCCTCCTCTCTGTGTGCTCTCATTCCAGCAGAGCCACAGCTGGATTACTCTGTGTCTTGACGGAGATTGTGTCTCACGCTTCGTCTCGTTTCCAGAGCGAGACTCTTTTATCTCTTATAGCATGATTATTATTATCATTATTATTATTATTATTATTAGTTATTTAAATGTTCTTGGCTCTACCACAGGTGTGTGTGGGCGTGAGCTGATAGAGCTGAAGTTGGCTGGATGTCAATCATTGATTTGTGGATCCTGATATTACGACCCTGAGCTTTAAAGCCATCTGAAAGAGAACAGTGGCCTCTGACTGTCCAGGTCACATGGCGACAATCCAGGCTCATGATTGGACGAGAGGCTGCCTATCAGATTGTATTGTGACAGGTCCATAGTCCTGAGCTGACCTTATAGCACAAAGGGACGAGCACACACACAGTACACACACTTACACTGTAGGTACGTACACACACATGCACACAGACACATACACACACACAGTACATACATACACACACAGTACACACACACTGTACGTACACAGACACACACACACACATGCACTGTAGGTTCGTACACACACATGCACACAGACAAACACAAACACAGTACACACACTTTACCTACACACACATACTTTTCTGTCTGAAAAAGTCCTGCAAAAATCCTTCACTCTCTTCTTTAAGAAACAATAATAAAACACAAAAAGCCAAAGTGAATATTCCTCAGACGCTGCAGAGGTCTGTGGTCACAGCGCCCCCTACAGCACCGTTTGGAGAAGGCCACAGGTATTCATTGCCGCTTGCGGATATTTCTTAAATTCTTGTAGTTTGCCTCAGACAGATCTGTTCTAATGTCCCTGATTAAAGATGGAAAGATACTGCACCAGTACAGGACGAGAGAGCTGAGGGAGGGGGGGAGGAGGGAGGGGGAGGAGGGGGGAAGAGGAGGAGGGGGGAGGAGGAGGAGGGGGGGCAGCTAATAATTCATATGATAAATGAAGATATGAGCTGATGGGAGCACGAGAGACAAGACACAGGAGGAGGAGACACAGGAGGAGGAGACGCAGGAGGAAGAGACGCAGGAGGAGACACAGGAGGAGGAGGAGGCCTCCTGAGGCCCCACCTGAGGCCTGACACACACAGCAGAGCGGGGACCCCAGCTTTAACATCATCCTTATCAAACACAGAGACGGGCTCCATCACTCTGTCCAACTCCTGTGTGTGTCAGTGTGTGTATCTGTGTGCGTGTGTGTGTCTGTGTGTGTATCTGTGTGTGTTTCTGTGTGTGTCTCTGTGTGTGTGTGTGTGTCTCTGTGTGTGTCTGTGTGTATCTGTGTGTGTTTCTGTGTGTCTGTGTTTGTCTGCACTTGTTTTCAACTCCTGGTGGGTTCCATAACCTGAGATTCCACTCACGTCATGGGGACTGGTTTTACGTAGTGGGGCCCGAACACCGGACCCCACTGGTCCAAGCTTAATAATCAATGGGTAATGCTTTTCTAACGGTCCTTATGCAGTCTCTGTAAAAATATGGAAAGGACCCCTGGAGGTTTACTTTCCTGAAAAAAGTGTGTTATGTGTCGGAACCCTGGTGGTGGGTTGCGGGATATCAAGGAGGGGCACACTGGGGCAATTTCAGTCCAGCAGGCTGGAGCCAATCATGGAGCAGCACAACAGAGGCTGGAGCCAATCATGGAGCAGCACAACAGAGGCTGGAGCCAATCATGGAGCAGCACAACAGAGGCTGGAGCCAATCATGGAGCAGCACAACAGAGGCTGGAGCCAATCATGGAGCAGCACAACAGAGGCTGGAGCCAATCATGGAGCAGCACAACAGAGGCTGGAGCCAATCATGGAGCAGCACAACAGAGGAAATCAGGTGTCAGGCTAGAAAAGGTGCAAGTGTGTGGTTCATTAGGCTGCAGCCAATCACAGAGCAGCACACTGAAGCGCACGCTTACAAACCACTGGTAAGTGCTGACTACAAGTCATGACTTCAAATTGTTATATAGAATTATTACAAATTATTTGTTGTTTGTGCAGCTTAGTCAAGAGTCCCTAATTGATGAAGTCGACTCAGATTCTGACCATTTAACTGTCAAGAAGAAACCTGTAAAAAAGTATGGAAAAAGAAAAATCAAAAACACTTTTCTTCAAGACTCGGAAAGTGACGAACCAAAGGCAAATAAGATTGTTATCATGCAGCTGCAAAAGAAGAAAAATGGGGGCAGAGTTTACAGCAAGAGACACTTCTGCCTCTACTGTTCAATGTCCTGCCACAAAATGTCCCGTCATTTGACTAGAAAACATGGAAATGAAAGTGACGTAGCCAGAGCATTGGCTCCACCTGTGAAATCTAAAGCACGTAAACTTCAGTTTGATTTGATCAGGAATAGTGGAAACCGTGAGCACAATTTTGAGGTTTTAAAGGCCGGCATTGGAACTTTAGTCCCAGCTAAACAGCCAAATTCCCCAGTTAAATCCAGTGAGTTTTTGCACTGTATAGACTGTGGGGCATTGCTTAAGCGAAAGTCGCTGTGGAGGCATGTGGCCAGGTGCCGGCTTTCACAGAAAGATGCCCAGGCTAAACCAGGCTAAACCAGGTAGAAGTAGGGTCCAGTCCCTCTGCTCCCTAGCCCAGCCTGTACCGGAGGGCATCAGCAAAAAGCTGTGGTCTTTAATTTGGGCAATGCATCAGGATGAGGTCACGGGTGTTGTCAAAGCAGAAAAGGGGATTCTGAGACTCGGAGAGCACCTGTACTTAAAACACGGGCATGATAAGACTAAGCATGATTACATTAGGCAGAAAATGAGAGAAGTCGGTAGGTTAATTAATGAAGCAAAAACTGCAGGGAAACTGAAAACAATGAAGGATTTCTTTATTCCTTCCAACTTTAACCATGTGATTGATGCAGTCAGGTCTGTGGCTGGATATGATGAGGAAACAAATCAATACAAGACTCCATCCTTGGCCCTCAAACTCGGCCATAGCCTCAGAAAGCTAGCAGATATTCTTGAATGTGACTCTAAAAAACGGAGCATTGTGTTGATGAACTATTTATTAAAAACCTCCAACGAAGCCGGCTGCTTTTTGAGAAGAGGTGGGACGTCTGTGTTTCTTCTGCTGCCCTACAGACCCTCCGGCAAGCCAAGTGGAACACTCCGGACCTGCTCCCTCTGACTGAGGACGTTAGAGCCATGCATGCACATATCGAGGTATGTCGACCTGAATATGTGCAAACCCTAATAAGTGAGCCAACGTCTAAGCATTGGTCTTAACTGGCAGTTTTGACTCTTTGTGAGGTCATCATTTTCAATCGAAGAAGGGAAGGTGAGGTTTCAAAGATGCCACTGACAGCCTTTACCTTAAGAAGTAAGACTGGGATCCATTCTGACATTGCTCTGGGACTGTCCCAACTTGAGAAAAAGCTGTGTCAGCATTTTCAACGCATTGAAATTAAAGGGAAAAGAAGTGGGAAAGTGCCGGTTCTTTTGACTCCTGAAATGATTGCTTGGATGGAGGTGCTGGTGGAGAACAGAAGGGCCTGTTCCATCTCTGACCATAACCCATACTTCTTTTCCCGCCCGGGCGCAGACACCCACATCAGGGGATCAGACTCCCTACGCCAGGTAGCCAAAGAATGTGGTGCGGTGCATCCAGAGATGCTATCCTCAACCAAACTTAGAAAGCACATAGCTACTATGTCTACAGTTCTCAATATGAAAGAGAATGAGATGGACATACTTGCCAACTTCCTCGGCCATGACATTCGCATCCACAGGCAATATTACAGACTACCAGAGGGGACACTGGAGCTGGCCAAAATCAGCAAAGTGTTGATGGCCATGGAGCAGGGAAGAGTGACGGAATTTGAAGGAAATTCCGTCACTCAGATACAAATTGAGCCTGAAGGTAATTCTTGATATTATTAAAATATGTATGATTTTTTTCCCCTAAAGGCCACTTGTATTTTTATTTTCTGTGCGACAGGGAGAGCAGTAGAGATCCTCTCACAAACGGACGGGCTAAAAGAAACTTCAAGCGGAGAACCTTCAACCATTCATCCAGATGCACCCCATGGTAGTGGCAGTGCCCCTTCTGGTAAGTGTACCAGGTGGGGGATTACAGCCAGGCTGCTTGGTCCTAACCCTGGGAGTGTATATTGCTAATATATTTTTATTTCTCTCCCTAGAACGTGTAAGAAAGCCATGGTCTGCATCTGAGGTGAAGGCTGTGGAGAAGACCATGACACCTTTCATACAGACTGGAAAGGTCCCTGGGAAGTCTCACTGCCTGGCCTGGCCTGGCCTGGCCTGCATTAATGCCTCACCAGATGACCTTAGACATCGGACATGGAGTGGCATTAAATTCTATGTCAAAAATAGAATCACTGCAATTCAAAAAAAAAATCTAAAATAAAATTCCTTTAAAAGAGTTGTTTGTTTTCTATTGACTGTTTTGTATTACTTAAAGTAGTCCCAGTAAAAAAAGATTATGTCTATGGGTCCCATTCTGAACGGCCCTGTCAAAGGGACCCACCAGGTAACAAAAACGTGTATGTGTGTGTGTGTGTGTGTGTGTGTGTGTCTCTGTGTGTGTGTATCTGTGTGTGTCTGTGTGTATCTGTGTGTGTCTGTGTTTGTCTGTGTGTGTGTGTGTGTGTCTGTCTCTGTGTGTCTGTGTCTGTGTTTGTCTGTGTGTGTGTCTCTGTGTGTGTCTCTGTGTGTGTGTGTGTGTGTGTATCTGTGTGTGTCTCTGTGTGTGTGTGTGTGTGTGTGTGTATCTGTGTGTGTCTCTGTGTATGTCTCTGTGTATGTCTCTGTGTGTGTGTATCTGTGTGTGTCTCTGTGTATGTCTCTGTGTGTGTGTGTGTGTGTGTGTCTGTAAAACCTTCTGTCGTCTCTGGTCACGTCACTGTCACTTCTACAGGACGACGATGTCAGAAGGAAATGGGAAAGTTGTGTTGGAACAAGACAAGGATCTGAACACGAAGGAGCAGCACAGAGGAGATCTGTGGGAGGTCTGAGGGAGGTCTGATGGAGGAGGTCTGAGGGAGGTCTGATGGAGGAGGTCTGTGGGAGGTCTGAGGAAGGTCTGATGGAGGAGATCTGTGGGAGGTCTGATGGAGGAGGTCTGATGGAGGAGATCTGTGGGAGGTCTGATGGAGGAGGTCTGAGGGAGGTCTGATGGAGGTCTGAGGGAGGAGGTCTGAGGGAGGTCTGATGGAGGAGGTCTGAGGGAGGTCTGATGGAGGTCTGAGGGAGGAGGTCTGAGGGAGGTCTGATGGAGGAGGTCTGAGGGAGGTCTGATGGAGGAGGTCTGAGGGAGGTCTGATGGAGGAGGTCTGAGGGAGGTCTGATGGAGGAGGTCTGAGGGAGGTCTGAGGGAGGTCTGATGGAGGAGGTCTGAGGGAGGTCTGATGGAGGAGGTCTGAGGGAGGTCTGAGGGAGGTCTGATGGAGGAGGTCTGAGGGAGGTCTGATGGAGGAGGTCTGAGGGAGGTCTGAGGGAGGTCTGAGGGAGGTCTGAGGGAGGTCTGAGGGAGGTCTGAGGGAGGTCTGAGGGAGGAGGTCTGAGGGAGGTCTGATGGAGGAGGTCTGAGGGAGGTCTGATGGAGGTCTGAGGGAGGAGGTCTGAGGGAGGTCTGATGGAGGAGGTCTGAGGGAGGTCTGAGGGAGGTCTGATGGAGGAGGTCTGAGGGAGGTCTGATGGAGGAGGTCTGAGGGAGGTCTGATGGAGGAGGTCTGAGGGAGGTCTGAGGGAGGTCTGATGGAGGTCTGATGGAGGAGGTCTGAGGGAGGAGGTCTGAGGGAGGTCTGAGGGCTCTCTCGTTAAAGCTCAGGTCTGTAACTTTCAAACCACAAACACATGAACTACGTGGTTAAAGAGATAAAAGTCACTGTTGTAGAATAAGTCAGAGCCAGACCCTGAACCAGACCCTGAACCAGACCCTGAACCAGACCCTGAACCAGACCCTGAAGTCTAACAGAAGAAAGCAGCACTTACAGCTGTGCAGTCGGATACAGATGCTCTGTTGTTAGTCCTGGAGCGAGGCCTGAGGCAGTCAACACCCCCACCTCCCCCACCTCAGCCCCATTGATTCAGCTGTGGATGAACTCAGGCGTAAAAAGTGCCGAGTAGAGACTTAGCGTGACGCCCGCTCTCCTCCAATCACAGAACGAGGCTGCGTCCTCTAGCCTCTACAGCGCTGCTAACCACAGTAGCATGTTAGCATAAGTGGCTATAACTCCTCTGGCTGTAACTGCAGACACAGCAAAACAGCCCAAACCACACAACAGTGAGGAAGAGAAGAGGAACTAAAGCCAAAACATGATCAAAGAAGAAACCAAGCCCTGAACAGAGCTAGCTTACATCGTATCCTCTGGACAGACCATAGACTGTATATATTAACAGACAGAGTCTATCTCCGCCGTTCATAGGAGTTGGCCATGAAAAGTGCTTTCATGGAGCTATCCAAAATGGCCGCGAGTGGTCCCGCCCACAAGAAAATTGTGAAAAAACGCATCTGTGCATGCGTCAGCCGGCGCAGCTCCATTCATTTGAACGAGAGACTTCTAAAGTCCACAGCGACTAAACTAGAGTGGACCAGAACACTCAGCATTGACACACATGTGGAACGGAACTTTGGGCCAAGAGACAACTTTTGGTCCATCCTGTGAAGACGTTTTGGAGAGGTCTGCCAACGCTATATGTTAGCATTGGCTAATTCTTCTTCTGGGTCCACCCCTATCGGCCCGGGGTGGTACTGCAGCATGTCAGGGCACGTCATTTTGGACACTTTTGAGCCGGGACCCGCCCCCACTGGGAGAGACTTGTCTATGGAAGAGACCTGCGGACCGCCTCGGACCATCTACGCTCAGACCATCTACGCTCAGACCATCTGCACTCGGACCATCTGCACTCGGACCATCTGCGCTCGGACCATCTACGCTCGGACCATCTACGCTCAGACCATCTGCACTCGTACCATCTGCGCTCGGACCATCTACGCTCAGACCATCTACGCTCAGACCATCTACGCTCAGACCATCTACGCTCAGACCATCTGCGCTCGGACCATCTACGCTTGGACTATCTACGCTCGGCCCATCTGCACTCGGACCATTTCCGCTTGGACCATCTACGCTTGGACCATCTACGCTCAGACCATCTACGCTCGGACCATCTACGCTTGGACCATCTACGCCCGGACTACATTTGGACGTGAAACTAGCGGTAATCTTTCGGTTATATGTTTTGTTTGTTTTCATTTCATCAGTGATTGATTTTAAACACAGTCATATTTGTGGCTTTGGGGGAGATCTGTGCTGCTGTAATTTCCTCTAATGACTGCTCGGCCTTGATCTGAGCAGGAGGTGTCTGCGCCTCACTGAGCAGGAGGTGTCTGCGCCTCACTGACTCTGCACATCAATCTACTTCAGGTGAATTCATCTGCAGCTCCTTCCCTTTGACTCTGTTCGCAGTCTGACAGTCTGAGGGGAAACTGAAAGTGATGAAAGTAAACTCTTGTCGTGGTTTCACTCAGACCGACTGAGGCTCCAGAGAGAGAGGAACCATCAGTGTCAGACACCAGCAGCAGCTGTAGTAGCAGCAGCAGCAGCACCAGCAGCAGCAGCTAGTACTACAGCAGGACCTCCATCAGCATCAGGGAGCAGGGGCCACAAACAAGGGCCACAGACAAGGGCCAGTGTGAGGTCAGCTACTGACTACTACTACTACTACTACTACTACTACTACTACTGCTACTGCTACTGCAGTTACTACTACTACTACTACTACTGCTACTGCTACTGCAGTTACTACTACAGCTAATACTACTACTAATACTACTGCTACTGCAGTTACTACTACAGCTACTACTACTACTACTTCTACTACGAGCAACTCTTTTCCTAAAGCCCCACAGTCCGACACAGACACAGCTGCTGACGGCCCCCTCCCCCTCTCTGGGCCTCCTCTCTGGGACTCCTTGGCTCACCTCCCTCTGGGACTTCTTGGCTCACCTCCTCTGGGACTCCTTAGCTAACCTCCTCCTGTCCTCTGGGAGAAGGAGCAGCCGCTTGGCTCATGGGCTCGAGGGCAGAGCCCGTGAGCAGCACGTGGCTACAGTCGGCAACTTCCACACAGATGCACACAGATGTTTAAGGCCACGTGATCCAAGGAGGGCAGAATACAGAGGGAGGAGGGGGAGGTGGAGGGGGAGGGAAGAGAGGGAGGAGGAGGGGGAGAGAGGAGAGGGAGGAGGAGGGGGAGGGAAGAGAGGGAGGAGGAGGGGAAGGGAGGAGAGGGAGGAGGAGGGGGAGGAGGAGGGGGAGAGAGGAGAGGGAGGAGGAGGGGGAGGAGGAGGGGGGGGAGGAGGAGGGGAAGGGAGGAGAGGGATACAATGTTGATAAATGAACAATTAACAAGTATAGCCCACTCCCATCAAGGATCAAGGCTGCACACAAATAAATATAATATTGGGAGGGTCTCTCTGCTTCAGCTGCAGGGGGGGGGTCTCTCTTCTTCAGCTGCAGAAGGGGGGTCTCTCTCAGAGTTGGCCTCAGCTACACATCACACACAAACCCTGTCGGACCGATGGGACTCTCTGTGGTCTGTGGTCAGTCTCTGCTCGGTCTCTGGTCAGTCTCTGCTCGGTCTGTAGTCTGTCTCTGCTCGGTCTGTGGTCAGTCTCTGCTCGGTCTGTGGTCAGTCTCTGCTCGGTCTGTGGTCAGTCTCTGCTCGGTCTCTGGTCAGTCTCTGCTCGGTCTGTGGTCAGTCTCTGCTCGGTCTGTGGTCAGTCTCTGCTCGGTCTGTGGTCAGTCTCTGCTCGGTCTGTGGTCAGTCTCTGCTCGGTCTGTGGTCAGTCTCTGCTCGGTCTGTGGTCTGTGGTCAGTCTCTGCTCGGTCTGTGGTCAGTCTCTGCTCGGTCTGTGGTCAGTCTCTGCTCGGTCTCTGGTCAGTCTCTGCTCGGTCTGTAGTCTGTCTCTGCTCGGTCTGTGGTCAGTCTCTGCTCGGTCTCTGGTCAGTCTCTGCTCGGTCTGTAGTCTGTCTCTGCTCGGTCTGTGGTCAGTCTCTGCTCGGTCTGTGGTCAGTCTCTGCCCGGTCTGTAGTCTGTCTCTGCTCGGTCTGTGGTCAGTCTCTGCTCGGTCTGTGGTCAGTCTCTGCTCGGTCTGTGGTCAGTCTCTGCTCGGTCTGTGGTCTGTCTCTGCTCGGTCTGTGGTCAGTCTCTGCTCGGTCTGTGGTCAGTCTCTGCTCGGTCTGTGGTCAGTCTCTGCTCGGTCTGTGGTCTGTCTCTGCCCGGTCTGTGGTCAGTCTCTGCTCGGTCTGTGGTTAGTCTCTGCTCGGTCTGTGGTCTGTCTCTGCTCGGTCTGTGGTCAGTCTCTGCTCGGTCTGTGGTCAGTCTCTGCTCGGTCTGTGGTCAGTCTCTGGATCAGAGCACTTCTCTTGTGTTTCTTTGTTTTACGAGACCAGAGACTGTGACTCTCCCTGAACACAGAGGATCCTGGTCTGAGTCGATGGTTTCATTCTGATTATTCTTGTTATTTATGACATGATGTTTATTGCTGCTGTAGTGAGAGACCAGAGAGAGACCAGAAAGAGACCAGAGAGGGACCAGAGAGAGATCAGAGAGACCACAGAGAGATCAGAGAGACCAGAGAGAGATCAGAGAGACCAGGGAGAGACCAGAGAGAGAGACCAGAGAGAGACCAGAGAGAGACCAGAAAGAGACCAGAGAGAGACCAGAAAGAGACCAGAGAGAGACCAGAGAGAGAGACCAGAGAGAGATCAGAGAGACCAGAGAGAGAGAGACCAGAGAGAGAGACCAGAGAGAGACCAGAGAGAGATCAGAGAGAGACCAGAGAGAGACCAGAGAGAGACCAGAAAGAGACCAGAGAGAGAGACCAGAGACAGACCAGAGAGAGACCAGAGAGAGATCAGAGAGACCAGAGAGAGAGACCAGAGACAGACCAGAGAGAGATCAGAGAGAGACCAGAAAGAGACCAGAGACCAGAGAGAGAGACCAGAGAGAGAGACCAGAGAGAGAGACCAGAGAGAGACCAGAGAGAGAGACCAGAGAGAGACCAGAGAGAGAGACCAGAGAGAGAGACCAGAGAGAGACCAGAGAGAGAGACCAGAGAGAGAGACCAGAGAGAGAGACCAGAGAGAGACCAGAGAGAGAGATCAGAGAAAGACCAGAGAGAGACCAGAGAGACCAGACCGAGACCAGAGAGAGGGACCAGAGAGAGACCAGAGACCAGAGAGAGGGGACATGTCTGCGTCGCGTCCAGGATCCTTCAGAGGAGGTGAGGCTGTCCTTGGTGTCAGAGCAGCTTTACAGAGGGACTCAGAGCTGGGTCTGGGGTCTGGGGTCTGAGGTCGGTCCCGGCAGGACAAGGGCATGCTGGGTAAACGCTCTGATTCACGTGGACAGCCCCTGAAGCCACACAGACCACAGTCAGCAACAGACACAAGTTGGAGGTCACGGACAACAATGCTTTTCACAAAAACATCAGACGGATTTAGAAAGAGGAGAAAGAGGAGAAACATACAGAGACGGATTGAGCTGAAAGGATTCTCCTCTCTCCTGCCTCCTCTCTCCTGCCTCCTCTCTCCTGCCTCCTCTCTTCTGTGTCCTCTCTCCTCACAGTTGGAGACAGGCACCAGAACAACTCTGTGCGAGACGCCATTTTAGACAAATTTAAAAGACAGAAGAATGTTTGAAAGACATACACTGTCTCTCCATCACTCACACACACACACACTTTACAGCCACAGCCGCCCCACTGAGGCACCTGGTGTCCCAAGAGGTCTCCCATCACAGTCCTAACCAAGCCCTGTACTACTTAGCTTCAGAGGTTTGACAGGAGCTGGCTTTCACCTGCAGGTGCGGTGTTACACTGGAGAGTGGTGCTCTAGATTCATCTGTTCACATCACAGAGGTCTTTATCTACTGTTTTAAACACATGTATCATCTCCAAATGAGTTCTGCTTGTGTGTGTGTCTGTGTGTGTGTGTGTGTGTGTGTCTGTGTGTGTGTGTGTGTGTGTGTGTGTCTGTGTTTCATATTTGTCCTAAAACATTTACATAACCGTAACATTGGAGCCAAGAGCCACAGTTGGACGCTCCTGTCACTGTTGCCTGCTGCAGAAGAACTGAGGTGATCGACCAAGGGGACGGAGTCCCACACTGACTTAGGGGACTGAGGGGGACGAGAGAGGAGGCAGGAGAGAGGAGAGAGGAGGCAGAAGAGAGGAGAAGAAGCAGGAGAGAGGAGGCAGGAGAGAGGAGAAGAGGCAGGAGAGAGGAGAAGAGGCAGGAGAGAGGAGAGATGAGGCAGGAGAGAGGAGAATAGGCAGGAGAGAGGAGGCAGGAGAGAGGAGAGATGAGGCAGGAGAGAGGAGAAGAGGCAGGAGAGAGGAGGCAGGAGAGAGGAGAGATGAGGCAGGAGAGAGGAGAAGAGGCAGGAGAGAGGAGAGATGAGGCAGGAGAGAGGAGAAGAGGCAGGAGAGAGGAGGCAGGAGAGAGGAGAATAGGCAGGAGAGAGGAGGCAGGAGAGAGGAGAGATGAGGCAGGAGAGAGGAGAAGAGGCAGGAGAGAGGAGGCAGGAGAGAGGAGAGATGAGGCAGGAGAGAGGAGAGATGAGGCAGGAGAGAGGAGAAGAGGCAGGAGAGAGGAGGCAGGAGAGAGGAGAGATGAGGCAGGAGAGAGGAGAAGAGGCAGGAGAGAGGAGAGATGAGGCAGGAGAGAGGAGAGATGAGGCAGGAGAGAGGAGAAGAGGCAGGAGAGAGGAGAGATGAGGCAGGAGAGAGGAGAAGAGGCAGGAGAGAGGAGGCAGGAGAGAGGAGAAGAGGCAGGAGAGAGGAGGCAGGAGAGAGGAGAGATGAGGCAGGAGAGAGGAGAGATGAGGCAGGAGAGAGGAGAAGAGGCAGGAGAGAGGAGGCAGGAGAGATGAGGCAGGAGAGAGGAGAGAGGAGGCAGGAGAGAGGAGAAGAGGCAGGAGAGAGGAGGCAGGAGAGAGGAGAGATGAGGCAGGAGAGAGGAGAGAGGAGGCAGGAGAGAGGAGAAGAGGCAGGAGAGAGGAGGCAGGAGAGCAGAGAGAGAAGGCAGGAGAGAGGAGGCAGGAGAGAGGGGAACAGAGCGGGACGTCCTATAAAAGCCAAGGACAGTGGGACGCTCGCCTCAGTCCAAGAGGACACAGGTGGACGGACTATAAAGAGCTCTCTCTGAGGACACTGAGGAGAAGTAAGTAGTAAGTAATCTTTATTTATATACCGCCTTTTCACTGCAGATCTGAGTCTCAAAGCGGTTTACAATTGTTAATTTTGGGCAGTTGTCTCTCACTCCACACAGAGATGGGAGCGGGGTCGCCAGTACAGGAGGCACATGCCAGAACTATTGGACATATTTTTAGTGGTAGGGGAAACCGGAGTACCCGGAGGAAACCTACGCAGACACGGGGAGAACATGCAAACTCCACTCAGAAAGGCCCTGGTCCGACCGGGAGGAGAAGAGGGGCTGCAGAGTATCACAGAGTATCAGAGTATCACAGAGTGTCACAGAGTATCACAGAGTGTCACAGAGTATCAGAGTATCACAGAGTATCAGAGTATCACACAGAAACACATGAGTCTGAGTCATTTGTAAACCATAACATTACACATAATAACACAATAATAACATAATAATAACTAAAATTACACAAAGAGAACGATGAGAGAAACATTATGTATAATTATGTATGAACAAGCAAAGTCTCCTGCCTCCTCTCTCCTCCTCTCTCTCCTCTTCTCTCTCGTGCTCCCTCTCTCTTTTCTCCTCTCTCCTCCCTCCTCTCCTCTCTCCCCTCCTTCTCCTCCTCCTCTTCTCTTACCTGTGCCATCCAGATAAATCTGCCTGCAGGTGTGTGGGCCTGTAGTGCCTGGTTAATAATGCAGCTGCAGGTATCAGCAGAAGGACCTGGAGTGGAGCTAATGTAAAGTACAGCAGTGTTGTTGTCCAGGACCAAAGGATTCATAATAGATGAAAGAGTGAAGGGGAGGTCAGTCCTGGGTCTGCAGCCTCAGTCCTGGGTCTACAGCCTCAGTCCTGGGTCTACAGCCTCAGTCCTGGGTCTGCAGCCTCAGTCCTGGGTCTGCAGCCTCAGTCCTGGGTCTACAGCCTCAGTCCTGGGTCTACAGCCTCAGTCCTGGGTCTGCAGCCTCAGTCCTGGGTCTACAGCCTCAGTCTGAGGTGATGATTAAAAAAGATTATAATAGACAATAACATTTTGTCTTTAACTTTTGATTTGTTGCCTGAACATCTGCTGCAGGCGGAAGACCCCAGACTTCAGACCTCAGACCTCAGACCCCAGACTCCAGACCTCAGACCTCAGACCTCAGATCCCAGACCTCAGATCCCAGACCCCAGACCCCAGACCTCAGACCTCAGACCCCAGTCCTCACCAGACTCGTCTCATTTATCAGGACTAAGCATTTCCCGTCACCAAAAATAGCTCCAGAAAATAGAAAGTCGTTCTTCTCTTTGTCAGCGCTCTGTTCAGACCTGTGCTCCACACTGTCCCTGTGCTCCACACTGTCCCTGTGCTCCACTCTGTCCCTGTGCTCCACTCTGTCCCTGTGCTCCACACTGCCCCTGTGCTCCACACTGCCCCTGTGCTCCACACTGTCCCTGTGCTCCACACTGTCCCTGTGCTCCACTCTGTCCCTGTGCTCCACACTGTCCCTGTGCTCCACTCTGTCCCTGTGCTCCACTTTGTCCTGTCCCTGTGCTCCACTCTGTCCCTGTGCTCCACTCTGTCCCTGTGCTCTGTCCCAGTGCTCCACTCTGTCCCTGTGCTCCACTCTGTCCCTGTGCTCCACTCTGTCCCTGTGCTCCACTCTGTCCCTGTGCTCCACTCTGTCCCTGTGCTCTGTCCCTGTGCTCCACTCTGTCCCTGTGCTCCACTCTGTCCCTGTGCTCCACACTGTCCCTGTGCTCCACACTGTCCCTGTGCTCCACACTGTCCCTGTGCTCCACTCTGTCCCTGTGCTCCAAACTGCCCCTGTGCTCCACACTGTCCCTGTGCTCCACACTGTCCCTGTGCTCCACACTGTCCCTGTGCTCCAAACTGTCCCTGTGCTCCACACTGTCCCTGTGCTCCACTCTGTCCCTGTGCTCCACTCTGTCCCTGTGCTCCACTCTGTCCCTGTGCTCCACTCTGTCCCTGTGCGCCACACTGTCCCTGTGCTCCACTCTGTCCCTGTGCTCCACTCTGACAGCTACAGGTCTGTTAGTAATTACAGTGATAACTAGAAACTTGCAATGGCTGAAGCCATTGCGATTGACTGCGGAACAGATCTAATGTGGAAATCTGCTAAAAAAAATCCTTGAAATCCTTTAAAAAGCCTTGAAACTGTTAAAATACTTGATAGATATTTGAAACTCCTGAAGTCCTTGAAATTGTTGAAACCTTTAAACTCCTGAAATCCTTGAAACTGTTGAAACATTGAAACTCCTGAAATCCTTGAAACTTTTTTAAACCTGGAAACTGTTGAAAGTGTGGAAACTCCTGAAATCCTTGAACCTCCTGATATCCTTGAAACTGGTTAAATTCTTAAACAGCTGAAATCCTTGAAACTACTGAATGTATTGAAAGTGTCCTTGAAACTGAAAAATCCCCTCACCGCTGAAACAATTTGGTTCCTGTAACTAAGGAAACCTGGTCTGTGGTCATTATCTGGTGGTGGTCTGAGTCTTCGTTTGGGTCTTGGTCTGGTGGTATAATGCAACCTATTAGGTTGCATTATACATGAAAAAACCCTATTAAGTTGCATTATACTGGTTTACATGAAAAAATCCCTATTAAGTTGCATAATACTGGTTTACATGGAAAAATCCCCATTAAGTTGCATTATACTGGTTTACATGGAAAAATCCCTATTAAGTTGCATTATACTGGTTTACATGGAAAAATCCCTATTAAGTTGCATAATACTGGTTTACATGGAAAAATCCCCATTAAGTTGCATTATACTGGTTTACATGGAAAAATCCCCATTAAGTTGCATTATACTGGTTTACATGGAAAAATCCCTATTAAGTTGCATTGTACTGGTTTACATGGAAAAAACCCTATTAAGTTGCATTATACTGGTTTACATGGAAAAAACCCTATTAAGTTGCATTATACTGGTTTACATGTAAAAACCCCTATTAAGTTGCATTATACTGGTTTACATGGAAAAAACCCTATTAAGTTGCATTATACTGGTTTACATGAAAAAACCCTATTAAGTTGCATTATACTGGTTTACATGGAAAAATCCCTATTAAGTTGCATTATACTGGTTTACATGGAAAAATCCCTATTAGGTTGCATGATTACACTGAAGTCCTTGAAACTGCTGAAGTCCTTGAAACTGCTGAAGTCCTTGAAACTGCTGAAGTCCTTGAAACTGTTGAAGTCCTTGAAACTCTTGAAATCTTGAAACTGCTGAAATCCTTGAAACTGTTGAATCCTTGAAACTGTTGAATCATTGAAACTGTAGAAATGTCTGAAAGAGCTGAAGTCCTATTAAAATGCATGGGCCTATTAAAATGCATTGCAGAATTCTCAATGCAGATTTTTGTCCGATTGCGGAAAAACCGGAAATCGCTGAAGTCCCAAAAGTAATAGCAATAATCTCCCAAACATGTGGAACGTTTTGATGTATAACTTGTGGAAATTGTTGAAAATGTGAAAGCTGTGAAACGTGTCAAAAAAAATGACGGAATAAAGAAATACAAAACCAATGGTTGACTGCGGAAGGTTCCGCAGTCAATCAATAATGATATCCATGTGTGTGTGTGTATCTATGTGTTTATGTGTGTGTCTGTGTGTTAGATCAATGGTAAAAGCACATGCACAGGAGACAAAATTACAAATAAGCTTTAATCCCTGATGGCACGGATAACACTTAACCAACCAAACTAATCCCGATACCACGTACACATACGCTCCAACAAAAGTTAAGCTAACACCACAATTATTTGTAGTTATATCAACATCAATCTGCGTAGCAAGCAAGGAAGCTAACGCTTGGGACCGCAAGCGGCATATGGCTAGCGGGATAGCCACCACTAGCGCAAGCTAGCGGGTACATTGAATGCATTCATAAAGTCTTCTGCGAGACTTAAACAGCCAAGGATAATGTTAAAAAAACATTCTTCCCTTCCCTTGTGATACTTGGAATTGAATACACGTCTTCTCCGGGAGCCTAAACACAGAAGTGTACACTATAGCTTGCAGTAAAGATGCTTGCAACTACAGCGAATACTAACAGCGTCCTGCCAGGGTGTCTCATATAGATCCAAAATAAGGTTTGCTGTCATTTTGCCGTACCGTAGTGCTGTGTGTAGATGGAAAGGAAGTCCATCCTTGAAGTGCTTACAGGAAGGTTCTGATGCTGGGAGGCGGTGTGATGAAGGTGTGGGTTACTACACCCAATAACCGAACTTTGGACTTATTCGCTGGCATCCTTTGAGCTTGGACTACAAATTCAAAGCAGATACAAAGGAAATGGCGGCTTTGGCGAAGTGGATTAGCCAGACCATGCCTTAATCTTAGCAGTCCCACTGCAATACTGTGACGATAATAATTCAAAAAACACGTAATAAAAATGGAAAAAATCAGAACGGGTTGTAAAATTTTACCAAAATAGGAAAATGATGTGTTTATTGAAAACCCATGAAGAGAACTGATTTAACTTTTTAGCACTCCTAGAGACTTCAATTACAGTGGATTTTTCATGATATGTCCACTTTAAAGGGGAGCCACGGTCATTGTCTCCAGCTCGTTCCATGGGGGGTCTGAGTGTCTTACCTAACCCCCACCAGTGTGGTATTAAAAATTGTAAAATAACTCACGAATGTCACTGCACCGGAGCCATACACATGGACTGAGCTGAACGCCGCCACGGTAACGTCGCTTGAAGGGGTTCCATCATGGTCACACTTTTGAGCTCTGCATCGGTTTAGCAAACACAAAGCCCCTGAAGGAAAGACAATGCATGGTATTCAAGGAGCATAATAACCAGTATAATCATTCAGCCCTTAAATCAGGATCAGTATTTCTATTATATGCTTAGAATGTGGCAACATTTAGCCAGGTGAATGGGGCCCCTGACACAAAAACCTTGCCCTTAAAGGCCATACCAGTTGTCTTGGTCCTACAAGGAAAGTGATCTTGGTTGTAAAATGTGCTGTATGAATAAACCTTATTACTGAACTATTACTAAAGTGAGTTAGAGCTGGTTAGAGGAACAAATAGTAAACACTATCTGCAAAATCGTAAAATCTCATCTCTCTGGGTACAAACCCAAAACCTTAAAAAAATATGATGCGCCATCAAAAACTTGTGATGTGAAATAGCACATTGACAAGTTAAATTTCTTCATCTCACCCTTCTGGAATAATCTTTATTTACAGCTGGAGGTGAGACATTCTAGCCTATGCAGTAGAAAAGGTGAGGTTATTGTGCCAAATGCAGCTGAGGTACGGAGATACTAACGGCTGACACTTAGTATTATAGCAGTGATGTTTGTAAATCATTTGTCACTTAGATTGTGTCTTTTCCGTGCTATGATGAGCTCTGAATTGGATGAAAGATTTAAAATACATTATTTTTCCTGTAAGATCGCGCATAGTTTTTTCAAGGATTTTAGATAAAAGTGATTTGTAAAGGGCCTGTCATTGTTGTGTGATAGGTGTTTGCCAAGAGGTGTCTGCCACTGCCTGTGTTATTGCTCCTTTGTTTTATGTTTCTGTGTTGTATTCTGTTTATACTGTTTGTTCTGTTTAAATGAAAACATGGAAAAATAATTACATATTTAAATTCTCCAATCAACAAAATCATCGACTTTTCATTAAGAACCACAACTATAACCACACAAGCCTCCGGGGGCAGTGCAGCATACCAGGAGTAAACTGCTTTTGCACATCAGCATTTCATATAAGCAATAAAGGAATGGGACGCGCTCACTACAGACCTGAAAACTCAAACAGACATATATCGTTTACAGTAGAACTTAAAAAGTGGTTACGGAGCAATCAAGAGCAACTCAAATTGCGGGTCTGTGTTTATTGCCATCTACTTTGGTAACACAAAATTATCCCTAATCATCTGTGTCAACCAGTCAACTTTATCTCCACCATACAGGCTTGTTACACCTCATTATGAAGATCATTACCTTCAACTCACTGACTGATATTTACATTCCAGGCCAACTTCAGCTCTGTCATATGTGAATCATTGTGGAGTACTCATTTATTTTGTAGATCTGTAACTATTGCACAATGGCAAGAGGGAAGGTAATGCCTCACGGCAAGGGAACCGTCCTCGGGCACTCTGGTTATCCCCACCACCCGCAACATGGCCCATAGGTCAAATCTCAGGTGTCTCACAACATATTTATTTATTAAGGGTTGATGTTGCTTGGTTAGGGGAGTTTTTGGCCCTTTTGTTTATGTTCCTCATCCCCCCCCCCCCCGGGGTATGTAAGCCCATGTGGGGGGGTTTCCCAGGGGTGTGTGGGGTTTCCTTGGTTGGTCTCGGAGGGGTATTCTTTTACACAGTACGGATGGTGTTGTGTGTTTGATAAGGAAAAAGCTTAGTGAGAGAGGATCGTCCATCAGGCCACGCGGAAAGGGCAAAAACAGCAGCCCCGAAGCCGTGAGAGAGCAAAGAGAACAGAACAAAACCAAGAAATAAATAAGAAAAAAACAAAAAAAAAGATCAAACGCAACAAACAAAACGAGGTAAAAAAAGAGCAGAGGCGCAGCGCGAGAGTGAGAAAACAAGCGAACCCCCCGAGAGCGGGGGGCGGGAGATCGCCATCGAGAAGAGAGAGAGCGAGAGACGATGAAAGAGAGCGGAAGGGCGAGCGAAGAGGAGACGAGAGCAGCCGAGCAGCGCACCCGCGAGCTGGAGCGCGAGGAGCGAGCAGGAGGAGCGCGGCGCGCAAGTACCGCGAGCGCACGAGGCGCGATCGGCGCGCCGAAAGAGCGAGAGATCCGAGCGTAGGCAGAGCGCCGCGAGGAGACGACCGAGAGCCAGAGAGCAGACGACGTCGAGAGACCGGAGGAGGACGGCCGAACAGCCAAGATAAAAGAATACTCTGAGGATGCCCGAACGCGAGCCCGCGCCCCGAGACAGGAGACTCACGCCTCGATCGCCCTCTCTTATCTATCATCTCCCTCTCTCTGCTCTCTCTCTTTCTCTCTTCTCTCTCTCTCTCTCACCCTGCTCTCTCTCTCCTCGCCGACCTTCTCTCGCGCTCTGTCCCTCTTCCCTCTCATCTCACTCTCTCACACTCTCTCTCCCTATCTCTCTCTCTCCCTCTCTACGCTCTCTCATCTTCTCTCTCACTCACTTCTCTCTCTCTCTCTCTCTCCCTCTCTCCTCCTCTCCTCCTCTCCCTCTCTCTCCTCTCTCCTCGCTCTCTCTCTCCCTCTCTCTCTCTCTCCTCTCCTTCTCTACCCTCTCACTCTCTCTCTCCTCTCACCCTCATCTCTCTCTCTCTCCTCTCTCCCTCTCTCCCTCTCTCTCCCTCTCTCTCTCTCTCTCCCCTCGTCTCTCCCTTCCCCTCTTCCTCTCTCCTCTCCCTCCTCTCTCCCTCCTCCCTCTCTCTCTCTCTCCTCCCTCTCTCTCCCTCTCTCCTCTCTCCTCTCCTCCTCTCTCCTCTCTCCTCTCTCCCTCTCTCTCTCCCTCTCTCTCTTCCTTCTCTCCTCTCTCTCTCCTCTCTCTCTCTCTCTCTCCCCTCTCTCTCCTCTCTCTCTCCCTCTCTCTCTCTCTCTCTCATCTCCTATCTCTCTCCTCTCTCTCTCTCTCTCTCTCTCTCTCCTCTCTCCCTCTCTCTCTCTTCTCTCTCCTCTCTCCCTCTCATGCTCTCGCCTCTCCTCTCTCTCTCTCTCTCTCCTCCCTCTCTCCTCCTCCACTTCTCTCTCTCTCTCTCTCCTCTCTCTCTCTCTCCTCCTCTTCTCTCTCTCTCTCTCTCTCCTCTCCCTCCCTCTCTCTCTCTCTCTCCTCTCCTCCTCCCTCTCCCTCTCCTCTCTCTCTCCCTCTTCTCTCTTCCTCCCTCTCCTCTTCTCTCCCTCTCTCTCTCCTCTCCCTCTCTCTCTCTCTCCCTCCTCTCTCCCCTCTCTCTCGACCTCTCTCTCCTCTCGCTCTGTTCCCTCTTCCCTCTCTCTCTCTCCTCTCGCGCTCTCTCTCTCCCTCTCCTCCCTCTCTCCCCTCTCTCCCTCTCTCTCTCCTCTCTCTCTCTCTCTCTCTCTCTCTCTCCCTCTCTCCTCTCTCGTCTCCTCCTCTCTCTCTCTCTCCTCCTCTCTCTCTCTCTCCCTCTCTCTCTCTCTCTCTCTCTCTCTCTCTCTCCCTCTCTCTCTCTCTCTCTCTCTCCTCTCTCTCTCCCTCTCCCTCTCTCTCTCCTCTCCTCTCTCCCTCTCCCTCTCTCTCTCCCTCTCTCTTCTCTCTCTCTCTCTCCCTCTCTGTCTCTCTCCCTCTCCCTCTCTCTCTCTCTCTCTCTCTCCCTCTCTCCTCTCCCTCTCCCTCTCTCCCTCTCTCTCTCTCTCTCTCTCTCTCTCTCTCCCTCTCTCTCTCTCCTCTCTCTCGCTCTCCCTCTCTCTCTCCCTCTCTCACGCCCTCTCTCTCTCCCTCTCTCTCTCTCCCTCTCGCAGCTCTGTCCTCTCTCCCTCTCTCTCTCTCTCTCTCCCTCTCTCGTCTCTCTCTCTCTTCCCTCTCTCTCTCTCTCTCTCTCTCTCCCTCTCTCTCTCTCTCTCTCTCTCTCTCTCTCTCTCTCTCTCTCCCTCTCTCTCGTCTCTCTCTCCTCTCTCTCTCTCTCCTCTCTCTCTCTCTCCCTCTCGCTCTGGGACTCACAGTTATTACAGTATATATAAAACTGTGTTTGTAGATTGTGGGTTTTGTCTAGTTTGTAGATTGAAGTGAGATGTGAATCAAACACTTCTGTTCTCTGGGGACTTTGGTCGCGTCTCTTTCATGTCGGGCTGTTCATGACAGGGACAGATGTGATATTAATAGAAGGTTTGAACAGACTGTAGTTTGGAGACGATGGTTCCAGACCATGAAGCGCAGGGAGAGAGAACAATGACATAATCAGGATGTTACATTACTTTTTATCTTTATTCCTGAAGCACTTTTCAAAAACAGTGTTTTCAAAGAGCTGCAGTGGAACATGTCAAACATAACTGGACACAACCAGAAAGAGCAAAGACCATGTGGAAGTGATTCAAAAGGTATGAAGCGAGTCATATCTCCTCATGCAGGTCGTTTCTCTCTGGTCTCTCTCTGGCCTTTCTCTGGTCTCTCTCTGGTCTCTCTCTGGTCTCTCTCTCTGGTCTCTCGCTGGTCTCTCTCTGGTCTCTC